ACAAATGGACAAGTCGCCTTTGGTGAAATGAAATATTCAAACAAAAAATGTTTTTTACAATTCAGAAACTGAGCAGCCACCATTGTTGAACTGATTCAATAAAAACACGATTAACTGAAGCGTCAACTGAAGTGGTTCAATATCGAAATAACAAACGGTTGAGCTAACTGTACTTTGGTTCCGTGACTTGACATAAACGGTTCAGAGTAGTGTGAAATGGCTTAATGGCTTAACGACAAATGGTTTAGTACAAACTGAAATGGTTTAGTGTTACAGCAGTTGGTTAACGCCGTAACCGCCAAAAATACAATAGTGAAATAGACAAGTCAAGCTTGAAATGGAACAGTCTTTAGTTTTTAGGCGTCCTTTAGTTGTAGTTTCGTCGTCTTAAAACAACGAATCGCTTTATCACGTTTCCTAGCCATGTTTCCGACTGTCTCGACTTTAAATGGGCCGTTGCGTAAAATGATGCACTTTATCAATATTTTTTCATTTCTTTTGTTTCAGATTCTTATTTTATCTTGAGGTAGTAAAATGGAGAATTCTTACCATGGTCACGCGTAACCATGGTAAGAATTTTCCATTTAACGTACAGCAGTTTTCACTATAAACCATTTATAACTATGTAGTTTTTAACTATATAGTTTTAACAGTTTTTAGGCGCCCTTTAGATGTAGTTTTGTCGTCTTAAAACAATGAATCGCTTTATCACGTTTATTAGCAGTGGTTCTGACAGTCTCGACTGTAAGTGCGCTGTCGCGTAAAGTGATTCATTTTATCTGTATTTTCGTCATTCCTTTTGTTTCAGATTCTGATTTTATCTTGAGACGTAAGCATGATAATAATTCTCCATTAAAAGAACAGCAGTTTTCACTGTAAGAAACTAAAAAGAACAAAAAAATAATTTGAAACTGGCTGATAGCAATTTGAACTCCCAACATGGTTAAGCCGCAACTATTAGGAATTTTACGATCTCAAGATAAAATCTCTAATAGTTGCGGCTTAATTTAGCCTGTTTTAAAAACTATAAAAATAGACAGTTAGGCCGGACTGCATATGGCTACTGATATAGCACAATTTTTCTGTAGCATTGAAAAGAA